ATGGCGACAGTTTATCGCCAAAGCGGGAGCACAGTTTAAGTCCACATGCGCACTACAACGGCTGAACGTACAGCCGGGATCAACACAGCAACTGGAAAATACGTTCGGTCCATTAACCATCAGATTCTTGCCAAAACGCAAAGGATTTCGACCTATTCTCGCCTGTTGCCCTAGAAGCAAACACTTATGGAAGATGAACCGCACTTTGAAGCCGGTGTTGGCTGTGCTTCAGGCAATGAAACGATGCAGCGGCGTATCGGGTTTGTCATTCGTTATTCAATATCTGAAAGATAAACATGTGTGCATGAATGTACCAATTTTTAGATTATGGTACCAAGGACCTGGTTCAGGTGCACTCATTATGGCGGAATTTAAAGACAATGCGTTTAATCGAGAGGAAGAAGACATACTACGTTAAAAGTGATGTGAAAAACTGTTTTGACACGATGATTCAAACGAAATTGTGGTCAGTGATTAACCGGTGGTGGCACGAATTGCCTGGAGCTTACGAAATATCCACCTTTACGGTTATGAAGATGATAAACAACAAAACGTATCACACTAAAAGACTCGTCGCTTGGCCTAAAGGAAGCTACCAGCATATTGAGAGAGCGATACCCACTCCGTCAAAACAGAACATGGTAGTGGTGCGCAGTGGCTCTTCTCACGTGCTAACAAAATCTCAGGTGAAATTCTGTGACTTTTCGTTGTTATCATCTGTACTTCGCAATTATATGTGATTGTATTTCTCTAAATTCTCCGGTTTTGAATTTTATTTGCTTTCAGTCACTCAATCAGTTTCAAAATCTACTTATCATTTCATTCGCTGAGGCGGACTCGTCAGTCAGTGTCTCCAACGTACCTGATTCTGTGCTAGTTTTTCAACCTCGGCAGAAATTAACCTGAATCTGGAGTAGCTTCCTTCGAGATACCTGCTCCAAATTATTCTTGACCATCGCCGCGGTCTTCAGTCCGTTTGTGGGCAGCTAGTAGCTCTTTCGCCCAGAAGTACCCAAACCATCGCTTCTGTGACTTTCATTCTGAAGATGCAGTGCCTCGGCGAGTTTTCCTGCGGTGACTCGGGGTTGAGGAGTTCCTCAAAGTACTCTCTCCATCGCCGGAGAATGTCCTCATCTTCGATTAGAGGGTGTCCAGGCCTGTCTTTTAAGACTCTGAGATTGACCTTCTTTCCACCTCGGGGCCGGCGGATGGTCTGCCAGAATATCTTGTTTTCCGCCTGGAAATTCGACTCCAACACCTCACTGAATTTCTCTCTGGGATCCTTGCGCATTTCTTTGTACTGCTTGTTTATTTCTGACCCTCAGGCTGCAGGCCAACCCGTTTTTAACTGCAGTATTCGAATAACGCGGGCGACGAACGACCTGGCAATTCCACCGTTTTATGGGTGACATTTTGTCTGTTTTATTTAATTTAATTGAATACTTTCATGCCGAAGTTGCATCAACTACAGTGTAGCTTGCAACACCTTACAATTGACAACGCACTCATTAATTAGGAGCATGACGTCGAGTAATGTAAAGTCTGTTACACCATGCTGCCATGGTTTTCAGTTTTCGCACATTACCACAACAGCTGCTCCCTGTTGATTTTCTTGTATAAGGCTTGCTTCTTTATTCCTAATTTATGCGTGGATAATTTTTCCTTGTATAACAGAACTCCCTGTTGATCTTATTGTATAAGACTTGCTTCTTTATTCCTAATTTATGCTTGGATACTTTTTCCCTGTATAGCAGATCTCCCTGCGGGTCTGGTCGGTTCGGAGACCTACCCATGGATGTGTGGCCATGATATAAAAATAGCCGCGCACCAAGTTTAATAATGACGACTTTTATTTCATACAGTAACGCACTCCCAATAACAGCCCGTTTCTCCCTCTTCGTTCGTACTGTCCATTTTTATATCTCCACTGGCCCAAAGCGAGGGCCAATCCACGCGCGTTCCGTCCACTTATGCGAACTGCTTCCGGCTCTCACCTTTCAACGATCGTTATGCTGAGAGCTCCGGTAGAAGAGCCGACATCCTGTCACTGCTTGCATTTGGGCCTGCATCCTACGGCGTTTTACACCTTTAATATATGTATAGTACTTTTCTTGTATTTTTTTGTTTTTTTAGTTGATCCGATTATTAGGATGTTTCTAAATCGTTCATAATTTTGTGAATTTCATAATAGGTATCATCATGTTTGAAACGATTTATTTTTCGGCACGTCCTGCGTTTCGGACCAAAGCTGTTCCTTCAGCGTAGGGGCATAGCGCAGGGTTCGGCGATCAGCTACTTTCTGTCTGATCTGTATTTGGAGAAGATGACTGAGCAGTGCATGGATTTCGTCGAGATCAGCGATCTATTCATCCGGTCTGCAGACGACATGTTCTACGTAACGTCTTCTGCCAGCCGATGTCAGCGCTATTTGCAGATGGTGATCGACGGCGTTCCAGAATTTGGCTGTCAGTTCAACGTCGATAAGACGGCAACGAATTGTTTAGCAACGGACAAGGCTCTGGAACGAGGCGACAAAATAGCCTTGCGCAATGTACAGACTTTCTCTTGGTTCGGGTTGACTTTCGACGTGAATTCCTTTGAAGTGACCGTGGCGGACGAGGCACTGCTCAGCTGCAGTTTTCCGCCTGTCAGTCATTCCTCGGTACCTCAGCAGATGATTCTGCAAAAATTTCCGGTAGCCGTTTTGTCTCGCTTCCCGGCGATTTGCTTTGACCCAACGTTAAATGACGTGAAGCGTCTCAGTGCCAATTTCAAACGTCTGGCCATTTACACAGTTGTCTACGTGAGCTACGTGAAAAGGCGAGTCGGACATCGACTGACGCTGGATGCTGACTTTCTGGCATCCTTGACCTCATATATCGTCAAATCCTTCTATAAACACAGGTATCCTAGAAACTCAAGGCTGTTGTCTAGCCGGTCATTGAATGCTACTGCACTTTCCCATGGGTACCTGAAGAACGTTCTGCGGTCTGTTTTGAAAATTCGTTTTCATCCTTAACTTTTGTTTGTTTTTGGACGCGTAGTTTTGACTTGTTTTGATTCTCGTATATTGCATGAAATGTCAGTAAGTGCAACCATAAATAGAATAACTTGCTGTGACTTCATCTCCA